TTTTTCAAGTATGAAATAAATTTTTCGAATTATACAAAAAATTTTTTCTAATTTGTAAAAATTATTTGAAACAATTCAATGTTTAAATAAAGCTAATTGATTGTTAAGCTTCTCGTGACAAGGATTCCTTGAGGATTGCAGTTATGCATTTACACGCGTGGTCTCAGTGGGCTTCGAATAACGTGAAGGCGGTTTCGTTCTCTTAGACACGGAGAGCGTCAGGTTACCTTGACGTTCGAGATATTCGCGCCGCGGTTTGTCCTCTATTACTTTCAGGGCAATACGTAAAAGGACGAAAAATGACATACCGGTTTCACTTTACGCTAATAATAGAACCTACCATTTTTGGAGTTCTCTAACGGGCGCCTATCGTTTGTTACAATATTTCGTGTCGCCATCGATGTCATTAATACGATTTAATCAAAAGTTATCGGAACCTCGATTCTGTTTTTCAATGTCTCCATGATTGATGCGAATGTATTAATGCAAATGTTAACAATAAGTAGCGATTCTGGCCAAAATTAACAGAAATTATCTTATTGGTGTATTCTTTAAATTTTTTGGGATGAAATCTCTCTCTCTCTAAGAGAGTGAAATTTTTAAGAAGTGAAATATTTTTACTCTTACAAAATGGTTGTATTTTCATTCTCTTGGAATGAGATTTCACTCCAAGAAATTTAGAGAGATGATATCACTCGTAATTTGTTTTTTTTTTTATGTCCGGCAAAATAATTCAAAATTTGAAATTTCCCAGAAACTTCAAATGGCTCCCAGTTGGATCACTGAGGGTTAATGTTAATTTTATTATTATTTAGTATTAATATTATTTATATTAATTATTTAATATAATTTTTAATATTTAGTATTAATATTAATTATTTAATATTAATTATTTAAACGCCAAATATAATTATTGAAATAACAAGTTACTTAATTATGCTATTAAAAGTATAAATTACAATTAAAAGTATTAAAACTAAATTATTTATATTATTAAAAAGTATTAAAATATTTTACGTTTTACATTAAAATTTATTGAATTTATTAATAATGATGTATGATTTATTGCCTATGTCTATTTATCTAGTTCTCAGTCGTACCATGATACATAACGATTATCATTTTCTATTTCAGAGTCGCCACCACCCCCGTATTGCCTTATCGCCGATAGACTGAGACCCGAAGGTGAGTGTTTCATCTTTCATGCCGTAATCAGGAATGTCTCTAGCGAATGTGTGCGAGTTCCAGTATATATTTGTATGTATGTGCGTTGTCTTCGCGCCATACCGGCGATAACTCATGTTTATTGCTTGCAAACGTTTACCGTACAAGCAGCGAGGTTCGTCTCTTCTAGCGCGCGTGTCTCTCATGACCTAGCCCAAAGCAAGGTTGGGGATAATCCGGGACGAATGTAAGTGCCAACGTTCCCGTCTTTCGAAGTATCGCACCAGTTAATCTCTATGTATATCAAGATTGCGCGAACAATACGTAATAATTCAATTAAGAGATTATTCAATTTCTTTTCCAATTAAGAGAAATAAACCTATTTTCCATTAAAGCGGATCTAAAGTGCTCAAATATTTCAGAGTAAAATTAATATAATGTGTACTATTATTATTATTCTAGTTCTATTCATGATTATGTTGTAAGACCAAAAAAGATTTCGATGCGCGATTTATAAAGTTGGAATTGTACATATAAATTCACTCTGAAATATTTAAGTACCAAGATTCGCTTTGACCGAAAGTAGGATTATTTCTCTTAATTAATTTTTTTTTTGTCGATATATACGATAAATTATTAATAAATTTTCGTGGAGCACGAGAACAATAAAATCGTATAATATACCGATATCTATTTTTGTTTGTGTCTCGAGAGCTCGAATAATGCGAAAAAAAGTACAGATACCAAGAAGATCTATATGATGACAAATGCACGGCATTCCAGTCGTACGACACAGAGGTTCTCACACTTTTCACGGCTGCACACCACCGACTGCGGATTCCTGAAATGATAAATAGATCGTCCCGTCGCAAATAAAATCGACGATTTTATTAGCTGGAGTTGAGCAAGAACAGACGCGCAGCGTTCTAGAGGTTGGTTTACGATAGCATTCTAGTTACACACATCAAAGGTTCTCAACCAAGCGTATAATATTATCTCACGAGAATAGAAAACACTCTTGCAAATTTTTGCAATAAATAAAATATACACATTTCATATGTATGCGTGTGTATATATTTATGGCAGTTTCAAATATATTACAATATTAGATGCAGAAATAAAACAAGCAAAATGGAAAATCAAAATAATTTATACGCTTATGATTTTTTATGATCGTAACTACGCGCTGTAAACCAATCTTGTTGATCGCAATGTGCCGATAGATTTCATGATATCGTCGTTTCAGCGGTTGATCAATGTATCCGCTAGCCAGTACTGATCCACTAGCTAGAGGCTGTAGAATAATCTCATTTACATGAGACAATAATAATCAATATTAACATTTAGCTGCAAAATACTTTTATTTGCAAGATTGTTAACTTATTCTTTACTTTTTTAAAAGACTCATAATAATTTTTTGCAAAAGAATCAAAGTCACATCGTTTACTTTTCGAGATTATATTCTTGATACATTGAGTAAATTCTATGGAATGCAAAGTACAATATCGCGTACCGTAGAATTAAATAGCTGATAGACATAAAGAATTGCTTCTTAATTCGTGGAAAGATTCTGAAATAGTACTTTCTGCCAACTATGTTTTCTTCTCGCTTCCTCCCACGTCATCGCTCTCCTCGTCAGGTTTCGACTATCCCGTGTGTATTTCTCTCTTCTCTCCTTCCGCGGTCGAACCTAAACTGGTTCTCTCGCGATCGATGCGAACGCACGAGTATACAACACAGATCGACCGTACTGGTCATCGATAGAATGCCTTTCGTTTTGCCGAGAAACCTCTCACGGGATCGTCCGATTACGCAAATACGACAGATCTGTCGAACCCTCTCTTATACATTCTTTTTAAAATTAAAGCCTCGGGCATGTAATCGAACACGGAAAGAAAGATTTTGTTGAAATATATATCAAAATAAATATAGGAAACTCAAACATGAGGTGCAATGCTACAAAAAGTTTCGACATTCTAGTAATCAGTTTGAGCGTCCTACACCAATATTTTGATAGCCCAATGAAATTACTTTTCAGATCTGTATCAGTTGAATTTTTAGCAATATTTCAGCAAAAAACTGTCCTTTCCGTGTAATACATATAAGATAATGGTATCGTCAGATAGACTGTCGCTATATTGTAAAATAAAATATCGATGTTGGTGCATAACATATTTTTACCGTTTCTTTCTTTATTAAAAATAGTAACGAATGAATGTCTATCTCATCGATGTTGGCGATATATGTGTGTCAAGCTTGACGTGACGAAATAATAGCGCCTGCAGTTAGAGGAGAGCCGCACGTTCGCGATGACGTTAGGCGTGTGTATAGATTATATAGTGGACGCACTTACATATATATATATA